AGATTTTTAATAAACCTTCAGCCTTTCACCTAGAATATGGTAAGATAGAACACAAGGAAGGAAAAAAAATACTAAATGCCACTTAAAATTATAATCTTTAATAAAACTTTAAAATACCTCAACCAATTTGCCTAACAGGTGTGAATAATAGATTTCTACTTCTGTGTAGCCTTTTGCTCACAAAGGAAGTTGTGACGTGGAGACTTGTGACCAAGACAGGCAGCCTGGTCATGTCATCACAGACCCATCTATTTTCTACCAGTCTTAAACACATCCCCTTTTGCTTCCCAGAGAGGGAAATTGAACAATGCCCACAATTTGGAGACCATGACCTTCGGTATCTCTTTGGCTAGGTATCTTCCACACTAAAGCATCCTGAGACGGGCATATCCAGAAGGGGATGGCAAAGGGATAGGGAGGAAAAGGCAACATGTTCGGAGAAGGAATTATGCAGAAGTTCACCTGCTGTTGTCACGATCAAGACATGGAGAGGTGCGGCTGCAACAGAATAGATACTTTAGCACAGAGAAGGAATGGATAAAGTGAAATATAAAGAATGAAACCAGAAGTGACTTGTAACTGAAATATATAATTCGTACACCAATATAATACTCATTGGAATAAGAGTTCGGGGATACAAATGGAACACAGCTCTTTGCAAATGCCGAGAGAAGAACAAAATATGGGAGATTTGTAGGTATTCCCAGTATAGGAAACTGGGGATATCATCAAACCCCTGGATTTGTAGCCTGATTCAACACCAGCACGTGGAGACATTTTAAAGACTCTAAGTACCCAAGGATCTACAAATATCAAAGGATGTTATAACAAAAAACAAGAAGTCTTTGAGTTGATGGATATAGTTTAGACTCAAAAGCTTTGCATTCATATTTCTAATACTTCTTAAACGATGAGACAGGACCATTTAAAGTATATTGCAATGACATGCAGTAGTATAAACTGTAAGGCAGAGTAAGTAACATCAATTACTTACTAGTGGGTCACAAAAAGCTATGAAAACACATAGCACTTTCTTTAAAGACTTCATTTCTTGCTTTGGGGACTGCAGCCTTGCTCACACTCCTACCTTGCACCCTTCTCTACCAATGGGTCTACTCTTCCTTAAAAGCCCCAGAAGCATTCATATGGCTCACTTGTGTTTTAGCTCCTTTTTTTTTGGAGTGGGGGACTGGGGATTGAACTGGACCCTGCCTTTGCCAGGTAAGCACTTATTCTACTGAGCCATCTCCCCGGTCCATGTTTTAGCTCTTGATAACATACAAAGGCATATGTCTAATAGATAAGAAATCCTGTCTTGCAAAAGCAGTTGTTTTGTTACTTACACAATTTTCTTCATCCAAACAACTTGCCTTTAGGGTGTTATGAAATATATCAACAATAAAAATTAAATGCTAGAAGGATTTAAACTTTACTGTTGTCAAGCGAGTGGCAGACTTGACTTCTTTGCCATTCAGTCCAGTGTTTGAATGAATATCTTCAATATATTTTTAACAGAATGTATTTTTATAGTAGTGTGGAGCTCACAGCAAAATTGTCTTCAACATGTTTTTTTTTTGAGACAGAAGTTCTTTAAATATCACCTTCTTGGAGACTTGGTTTACTGTAGTCTCTTACAGTGCAATATCATGAGTTAACATTTAATGATACAACTTGGCTGTCAAAACTATAAAAATAAAGACTTGGAACAACAACACTGAAAATCAGCTATAAAGCTAGCTCTTGGTAGAAATTTGCCTTACACATGCTCATTCGTTGTGAAATGAGGGAGAATCATAAAATTCAAATTCTTGCTCTATCTTACATTGGTTTGTTTATGACTGAGGGTGCTAGAAATAACTGCTGGTTAGATTCCCTGTGAATCAGTAAGGGAACTCCTTAAAGCACAAGAAACAAAATTTTTCCTATATCAAATATTGGCTGGATCTATTTGACAGTGAAGAGTTTTCAATAGTTAGACTCATTCTCCTCTACTTATGAGCTTTTATGTTTAAAAACATGGAATAGTGGTAAAATAACCAATAAGCATTGATTACTGGTAAAGACTACATCTTTTGCTAATCTCAAATAACTTTACTATGTTTAATACAAAACAATGCACACAAACTAAAGGCATAGGCATAAAAAGATAAGTTTACTATTTCCTTTATCAAAAAGTCATTTTTCCTTACATTTTGGGCGGATTGTGAAGTTACTTAGGGACTCATCTAATTAATTAAAAACAAAAGTCAGTTTCTTAAAAAAGCTACTCAGGAATCTGATATATTGTGAATAAATACACAAAATCATTACATGATATAATATTTTAAAAATTATTCATATACATTAACATCATGGAACCTTTCAAATACCATAATACTTAGAGTCGCTACATTTTCATGGATAATTAACCAACTTTTAGAGCCAACTGTGGCACTGTATTTGTCCTAATATTATAGTAAAGACTTTAGTAGATGGTAAATTACCAAATAAAAATAACAAATCAAACATTAGTATTATATGCCACATTAGCATTATCATTAGCAGATTCAGAATACATTATGCTTAACTCATAAGTAATTTGTAAAAAAAATTGGAAGATGTGTATTAAATACTAAATGACTAGTTATATTTTTCTAGGCCAGTGCAGATTATTTAAAAAGCATCAATTCTTTGGAACTCTCCAGTAGAATCAATAACAATACTTATGATGCTGGAACTCTAGAGATTTTGCATAACTTGTGCAGCATGATGCATAATGAAAGTTAGAGTTGGGCTCCGGATTCTGATTCTCCTGATACCAAAGCACACTTTTAACCACCACACTTTTTTCTGTTCTACACATCACCTTCCAACTTCAAAGAACAAGATAATAGGCACATTTCTCACAAGTAGGGGCTATGGATTAGCTACTTTCTTTAGCAGCTGACTTAACATCTGGAAATATACACAAATATATCCCCAAATGTGTAAGAAATAACCATATAAGGGAATGAAGAGACAAAGAACATTTGAGAGAACTCAGTATACATTGATTACTGTCTCTCCATTAATCAAGGCTTTATTGAACAAACTTTTTCCTTTGTAATAATTTATATAGTCAGGATTTAGAATATACTGTGAGAACCATGATGACCATGATTCAGCTATAACTGGTTTGGGATAAATCATGGGCATGTGAGTATTTAATAGGTTTCAGGCAATTCTGACATAGAGCCAGAACTTGATATAAAAATTAGTTTATTGGAGACTATGGTTTTTAGAGATCCTTATCTTAAGTGATTAATCTTTAACCACAAGATGTTCTTACATTACAAGCAATCCACCATTATTACATTATGTAGTTTGGTATAATAGTTACAAATATTGATGTACTTAAACAGAGTATTTACTATCCTTATTAATGGAGAAGCTCTTTTAGAATCCTTTTTTTGATATAAATGTTTTATTTGGAAAGTCAACAATATGGACTCTTTAAAATGTAGTTAATAATAAATAATTACATTTAACCTGTAACAATCTCTTCATTTTATAGGGTGAATAGGGACTTTAACTACTTCTTTATGACTTCTATATTGTCATCTATTTTCCTGCAGTCTCCTAGGTCCATGCCTGTTCTTCTTACTCATCACTTGAAAACTTAGTAGCAGATTGCAATGTTATGGTTTTGAATAATATATAACTATGAGATTTTAATTATCTCATTTTATACTTAAAATATGTAAGTAAATTTGGACAACACTTGTATATTTTCATTTCCCTGAACAATTCTTGAATCAGAAATGAACTTTATTTAACAAAGAAAATATTATGACTATTTTCAATATCTATATAACTAAATTATATATTCTATGACAGTGGTAGCAAATCTGTGGCACACTTGTTATTTATTTTTCTTTTAAGACAAATCATGTTAATGTATAAATTATTTTTTCTAAACTAAAACCTCAGTATTCAGGTTTAATTGCAGTGGTGGCACTTTGTGATAAGTAGGTTTTAGATTTCAATTTGGGCATTCATTTCTAGAAGGTTCAACCTCACTATTCTGTGGCATTTAATAGAAGATTAGATTAAGCAATTCAAAATTGTTAAACTATCTAGAAAACTTTCCTAAAAGGAGACTATTTTATAAAAACAAATCAAGAAAGAGTCAACTACTCAAAATATTTCCAAGATTGTTAGATAAATTATGGGTAGGGCTTTAAAGGAAGTAATTAAATGAAAAAAATGCAGTGTTTTATATATAATGGGGATGTTACTATGTTATTAAAACTACTAAATATACAAATAAAACCAGTTAGAATAATATTACAATTTAAAACTCCTTAAGGAATTTACATTATACATAACTGAAATCACACATATTAAGAACAACTTTAAGTGTGTTTGAAAATATGCTCCACATCTTACAGTACCATTAAGTTAAAAACAGGGCCGTGTTGGTTCCACGGTGTGGTGTGTGCTTGCTAGGGGACCTCAGGAACCCCCAAGATGACACTGAGGAGCTCACTGTTCACATTCCAACCTCCCTTTCTAGTTGCATCCCTACCTCAAAAAGGATCTGAGCTCATCTGTACAACTGTTTGATTCTAACCCCTGCAAATGTTATTTTTCATGCATCAGACTGGGAAGAAACCAGTTGATCTGAGCAAATAGAGATTTTCTAGAGAGCAGCTGACTCAGCCCCTTCTGAAGATGTCTTAAGGACAGAACGTGAACAGTTAAGGTGCCACCAGGAGATTCTAGTTAGTTAGAAAGCTCTTTGATGCAATTCTACTAGTTATTTAAAAATAAGTCAAGTTTCTGTGCTGAAATAAACCCTCTTTGCTGTTTTTATTTTGGTAGATAGAGTCCATGTTGGAAAAAACAATGTTATTTACCAGCTTGATCAGAGGTCACCGCCACTGTAAGCTAGCCGCCAGCTAAAGCTCCTGGACAAAGCTGTATTTTCACTGCCATCTCTTTGTATTCTTGGTCTGGATACATAATATTGACTCACTCACCCTGAATGAATAGGGCTGGAAGAAAGAGCCACGTTGTCCAAGTTCTCAGTGCCCCAGCTGAGACGATAAGAATTCCTTTCTGCCTCCTTGGCTAGACTTGACACCTAACCACAAAGAACACTGGATTTAAGTTTAAAAAAGAACTTTGCTTCAAGTAAAACTATCACGAAATCTATAAAGTATCATCACAAAAAGGTGGTATCTCCTGGAAAGAATTTCACTTCAAACTATAAGAGCAAAGAATTTCAAACTAATCTTTCATAATTCATTCCTTTTATAATTCCTGTACTGGGGACTGAACCTGAGGCTTTTGTAAAAAGCTCCATCCCAGCCCTCTTTACTTTTTGGCCTGAGATAGGTCTTGCTAGTTGCTCATGTGCCAGGCTGCACTTGGACTGGCCAGGACTCCCTGAGTGCTGGGATTGCAGACTTGCACCACTGAGACCAGCTTGCATTGCCTTTTAAATTATATTATTTTTTTTGTTTTTGTTTTTAAATTATATTATTAACATCACTTTAATATAATTGCCTTTGGAAAGGGTAGGTGCCCATTTCCCTATATCCAATCCATCAAAATTAATTTAAAAAATTGTACCTAAAGTAAAAATATCCCAAACTATCTTTTAAGCCTTTTTTAATAGCTAACAATATTAAATATTGAAAGATATATTTTAGCTTGTCCATTCACTTTATACCATAAATACATTCTTTTTTCTTTAAAATTTACTTTATAATACAACTCCCTATATAAAATCTCCACAGATGAATTTAGTACTGCTGAATAAAAAGTACATTCTTTCAGACAAAGTTCTCATTGAAGAACTTAGTGAACCTTTTTCATATTTTAGGAAACCCTCAAGTCTTATCCTAACACGTCCACTGAATGTTCATTTATATGAGCAGCTTCCTCAGCACATTTCCCACATCAGAACATGCATGAGAGGCTGGAAGGCAAGGAGGTACACACCTGGTGGCTGGGGATCACCATGGCATCGTCCATCATGGCGCCGTCCCTCAGGTAGGATGCATGGCTCAGGGTGTGAGACCTGTCGGAACTGAAGGACCGAAGGCTGGTGGGGTGGCAGGAAGCCATGGCCATGTACCGAGAGCGGGAGGAGGGTTGGAAGGATGAATGATGAGCAGAGCAGGGAGTGAGAAAAGCGTGCTATTAGCGAACAGTGCAACTGTCAGGGCACACACGTCTCCTGCCTCCCTACCTCTCCGTCCAGAAGCTAAGCTCACACCTCTTCAGACTGGTTCCTTCCCCTCAATGGCCAGGGCCCAAGGGAATTCAGAAGTTAAAATTTGATACTCCTAATCTGATTCATTTTCTTCCCAGAAATGTTTGCAACCAGCAAATGCTGTGTACTTACTGTGAGGACAAGAAATTCACACAGCAAATAATTCCAGGATAGAAGGCTTAAGTCCAGGCTCAATGTCAACCTCCATGCAACTAAGAAACATATCAGTGGGAGAGTCGAGAGCTCACAGAGAGAAGGACAAAATGAAAGTGCAGGTTTCCCTTTTACTCATCATTTTCCATTCTGTCTCCTGCCTCTTTCTCTTCCTCTCTGGATGGTGAATGAACCAATGCCAGGGAGCTCCCCTGGAAGCTTGAAATGGATGGGGGCCAGAGACGTGCTTCCTGCAGAAGGGAAGTTCCTCTTGTTTGTCTCTGGTGACTCTAACAATGCTATTATTTCAAAGGAGGACAATGTCCCTTTTGCATGTCCTGTGTGTGCTGACTGAAACACCAAAGAGTGCTGGTTGCCGTGGGGATGAGATGCGACAGCACAAGAAACGGTTTCTAAGCAGCAGCCTGCACACAGCCACGCTTGCCAGAACAAAGCCACACTGCCCGTGGATGCTGACAGGAGTGGAGACCTGCCTTCCGGATAGGACTCAGGCCTCCTAGCCAGTGATTTACATGTTTTATAAATCTGAAATTCAAAGTTATGGACTGCAAACTCTTACATAACAAATAAAACTTGATCTGTACAATGCAATTTCATTTCTTCTCATTTTCTATAAGTGGCAAATAGATTGATACTGTGCATTTTATATATACATATTTATCCAAGATTTAAAGATCTGCATTCCCATTGAGGGGAAAGAGGTATACAATCTTTCATAATACTGGTGGAAGCAAACTTTCATTTGCTTTTAGCTAGAAAATATTTGGCCAGTGAAACACTATAGAATTACATACTAAATAGCAAGTTTATTAGTGAATACTATTTTAATTTTTTAAGTACAGCTAACTCTGTGAGCCTTATACTATAAGCCCTATGAGGCATCACATCTAATTTCAATTGTCCTTGAGGAAATGATCACTTTGGAGATTACTCCTTGTTACCCAGGCCTTCTCTCTGTTATTTTGCAGGTAGATCTAGGAACCTTGATCTTAGAGTGCACATGATATGAATCAAAGGAACTGATTTTGTGACCTCCCTAAGTCTGTACTCATACCTCCCTAAGTCGGTGCTTACACTAAAATGAGATCTAAATGTAACTTGGAAATTGGTCGTGCAACAGCCCAGACAGAGGCAGGCTGGTGTTTTCATGCAGTTGTGGTGAACCTAGAACATGTGTGTTATTATGTGTGGTTTTTTTAAAGGACAAAAATGTTAATATATGAGGTGTTTTCTCTAAACTATAACCTCAATATTCAGTTTTAATTGCAGCATTGGCATGTTGAAATAAATGAGTGGGTTCTGAGTTGCAGTTTGGTGCTTGGTCTCTAAGAGGCCTTAGTGAATTCCTCAGCACAGATAGGAGCTCTAGCAACTGCAGGCAGCCCATGTTATGGCTATTTTTATAGTTGCGCACCAGGCTTTTGTTAGTGTCCTTCTGCTATAGGCTGTCGCTATAGTGATCAATCTTGACTTGATCTCGAATTCAAGGCTGGGGACAGAGGTTAAATTACTGAGAAAAGGTTCTTTAATCAGCAAAAACTTATCTCAACTGGCAGAATGTATTCTTTTCTTCTTTAGATAGCAAAGATTCACTTGGTTGTGTTCTATACCAGGCAGCACAAGATCAAAAGCTCGTATGTTTTTAATTTCTTTACTTTGTTTTGAATTTGGCCAAGGATGGGAAAACTGGAGGAGTCAACCTCCTAAAGTGGTATAGCTTGTTTATAGGCTCAACCATCTTCCCCAATTTAATGGTTTCAGTTGAGCTTGCATTCTTAATTTTATAATCTCTATATACCTCTTTAGAATTAAGAGATACAGGGCTGGCTAGATAGCTCAGCAGACTAAAGCACCTGCTTAGGTAGGGTACTGCGACCAGGGGTTTGATCCCCGTATGCCATGCTGGCCCTCCCCTTTGGGGCACGCTGAGAAGGTAATTGACACTGGGTGTGGTGGCATGGCCTGTAATCCCAGCACTTGAGAGGCTGAAAACAGGAGAATCACTACAAGTCTGAGCTACAGAGTGAGACCCTACAGACCCTGTACTAAATACATAAAAAAGAGAATTAAGAGATATACATTTAAAGGTGCTTGATGTATATGAATTAATAATATAAAAAAGCAAGAAGCATTCATTCTGTTTAATGACAAGAAATGCCTCCTTATAAGAAGTGGAGGTTCTGTCATTAGATAAAATTGATTCTCACATGCTGCACTAGATTAGTAGAAACACTGGTTTCAAAAAGTAAATGAAGATTTAGGCTAAATGGGAACAAACTGAATAATAAAGATACCCCAATAAACCTACTGATGTGGCTGCTGGCATTGTAAATGTCAAAACTTTGAAAGAAGCTACTAGGCCTTATTTGTCATTCTCATGGAGTGACGATGACCAGATCAACAGGTCTGTCAGTTCCAGGAATGCGGCAGGAAATAGCCCATTGGGCTGTGAAGATACAGTGCCAGTAGCAAAGCGTGGGTTTTGAGCTCTCTCTACACTACACCAATATCATCTCTAAACTGGCTTTGAACTCAGAAAGTACAGAAATGCTGGCCTTATATTTTCATCTTTCTAAAAACCCTAACAGGAAGAAATACAGAGGGAAGATTAAAATCAAGAAAGACAAAATAACATACAACCACAGACAAGGGATTGGGGTGGAGAAGGAAAGACTCTAGGATATAAAGGCAAAGAGCGACAGAAATTGGACAGAGAGGGAGGAAAAATGAGTTTGTTTACTATTCTGGAATGCTATCTGGTTATTTAGTCAATGCTCATATTTTCTAATATATTTTAAGTCAGGGATGCCAACATCTGACCCAGGGACTTGAATTATTCCAGGCCTTTGTATTGATGATTATTTTCTCCAGAAGAATAATATCTTCACTGTCAGTTTGTTTTAATTATATTATTTCATTTAAGTAGTTTCTATAACATTAAAAAATAGCAATTAGAAAATACAAACATTTGTGGCAGGATGGCCCATTTTTCAGAGGGCACTTGTTCATTTAGAATATTTATAACAACATCTCCACACAAGTGTCAAGTTTTACTTGATCAGCTAGGGATTCTCAGGTTTAGATGCCAACTGCTTTGTTATGGACTCAGTTTATACTTGTTATATTATGGGGCAATTGCTTCATAAACTATAGTAGACAGCATGAAAGTGTAAATGCATTGAAAAGTATAATAATAATTATAGTAATTTCAGTAAACTGCAGCATTTATATATGTGGAGTTACAAACTCTCTTGAACAAATGAATACCCAAAACTGTCAACGTGTTAATATCAATATGTGTAAAAGCTCCTCTAATATGTGGTTCATTGTTATTTAATGTTTTATACTGACTTTTGATAGTACTTTTACTTTATAAGCACTAATAAAATGGATAAAATCTAACTGACAAGAAGTTGGTTGTATTTTTGCTAAGCAGACATTAAATGTCTGGATCTTTATTCCTCTGCACCAGCATATAGTTTAGGCATCAAAACCTTTCTCCTGTCTTCTCCAACTACACACAGGCTGATCACGGTGAGGGGAGCCAGGCTCCTGCTTCACCCACCACAAGGGGGAGCTGTGATGGTTAAAAGTCAGGCCTGCACATGTAGCCAACTTCCATCCTGCTAACAGATACATCTCTTCTCTCTCAAATGTTGTTCAATTCAGTGCAAAGAAGTTCTAATTTGAGAATAAATTATTAATTCTAGGCTGTAGCACCTCCTGTGCACACACACACGCACACGCACACACACGTTGAGCAGTGAGCAGGGGAATGTGGGTGTATCCAGGAAGGCCATGTGTTCATGCCATGTCATACCTACCTGGGCATGGTACTATGGAGAGCATACCAAATAAAGAGATAACGAAAAGAAAAATGGTTACCAAAAGGAGGGGGCTTATCTCGAATTGCCTATGCAAAATTTAAAAAACAAAACAAAATGAAGAAAACCATGAAAATGAGATGCAGCCTGTAATCTTATTTTGGAGGCCATGCATACACCTGGCATTCTAGAGATGCAACGTGGAGTGGAGAACCAACCATGCCTTGTTTGCTTCTTGTTCCTTGTATTTAACTGCTGATGGAGTTCAGGTTAAGTAGAAGTATTAACAAACATCTACCCCTATTTTATAGAACTCATACTCTAAGTCTCTCAACTAAGTTACTTTGGAAGAAAGAAAAAGGGCTGAATCCAGTATTGTTTTTCTTAATAAAAGAAACCACAGTGAAAGGTTGTTTGGCTGATAATAATATGCCTACTTACAGATTATTACAAACACATGCAAAGCTCTAAACCTTTTCCTTTTTTTTGAAACTTGGAGGTCTTCTGAGCATTTCAGGTTATAAGGTCCACATGCAGGAATGAATTAGCACTTGACCCGGGTCTTTCCATCTCTGGAGGGCGGGGCACTCTGCCTTCTATATTCTGATTCCAAGGACCACCATTTAAGCCACTGAGGCCAAGCAGTCAACTTAACTTTCTTCTTCTTCAACCACCTCATAAAACCCATCACCAAATCTGGTTGATTTCATCTTCTACGTATGCCTGAAAGTTTTCGTTGCAAAATTTCTCTCCATGCCTGCCATCAAGGTTAGGGTTGAAGGCCTCTGATAACAATCACAGCTAAGACAACTGCAGTAGCCTCTGAGTGGCTAATGCCCTTTAACATCTCTCCTCTAAAACTCATCCTTTGGATCATGACAGTGGGAATGCTCTATTACACAAATACGACTTGTCCTCCTTTGCATGTATACTCGGGCAATGCTTGCCTCTTCTGCTTCTTTCACGTACAGTGAGCCTTTGCTCACAGCCTCCTCCTTTCCCTGCCATCATTGCTCATCACTAGTCTGGATCTGGCTTCCTCTCCTCCTTGAAGCTCCAGCCTCAGGGTCCATCGGCACTCTGCAGCCACCTTGCCTATGAAGTCAGCAAGCTAATTCATGTCATGCTGTTGTGTCCTGTACTTACCACAAAGCCTGGCACTAAACACACTTAAATCCACACTGGATTGTTTTTTAAAAGAGCACAGTTGGTGCTCAAGAGAAAAATTCCAAGAAAAGCTTGTTTTATAAATCAATTATCCATTTAAAATTAATGACTCTTAGATTATAAATATGCAGAAAATTCATAAAGTAGTTTATAATACAGCCAACTTAGAAACTATAAATGTGAGAGTTCTGAATAGCAACAGATATTCCACTACCTGGACAGGCATATGCTCGACCTAAATTGATCCTTTACAATATTATTATTATTTTTTTTTAAATTTTATTTATTTATTTGAGAGAGAGAGAGAGAGAGAGAGAGAGAGAGAGAGAGAGAGAGAGAGAGAGAGGCCAGCTCAGCCCACCAGGGGGCGGGCTGGCTGGCATGTGGTGCTGGGGGATTGAACCGCGGTCCCTGATGCTTTTGCTAAGCTTGTTCTAAGTAGGTGCTTTAGACCACTGAGCCATCTCTCCAGCCCCGATCCTTTACAATATTATATAAACCTCCCTGGACCTGCTATACCAACAGGGCTCATCCTGATTTTGCCCAGATTATTTCTGTATCAAAGCTTTTTTGTTAATGAAAAGCCAATTCCAAGTACAGTTTTCTTTTAAATTTGTTTGATTTTAATTACTCTTCATAATATAGCTTTGTTCATAGAAATTATGTCACTAATGAAAAAAAGGGAGATTAAAAGTGTCAAGAACATAAACAAGGCAAAACTGCCTTTTGAATTTGCTTATAAAAAAATGAGACAGATGATCAGACACATCACATTCAGAGGTTGAGAGCTCTTATTTATCATCCATCTATTTCTGAGTGGTTGTTTAATTTTACTAAATTGTTTAATCTCTCCAGGTTTCAGGTTCCTATTCTAGAAAGTGGGTATTTCTCAGTCATCACACAACTAAATAAGATAACATGCTAATTCCCCAAAGTGGTGAGGTGCTCATTAAGTGCTCAATAATTGTGTCTACTTTTTTTAACAATCATAAAAAGATATTGCATATATTTCTGAAAGACATTGAGTATAAGCTTTCCATGAATACCTGTCGGATCGTCCTCCCTCCAAGCTATACCGCAGATAATTCATTCCATCCAAGAACTGACTGCTGGGTAGTGAGTCATCGCCCAGTTCCTTGAGATCCTCGGGTCTAAGGTATTCTCCCCCATCACCTGTCATTGTGTCATCCCCTTCAAAGAATCAGAAGATGGAAAAAGTTATTTGTTGAACGCAGCATCGGCTACAAAGTATATTTGAATTGTGAAATGCATTAGCAAGCAGCCTTGTCAGTGGAACACAGCACACCAGGAGACACAGGACACACACAGATGTTTGCTGAGTGCTAGGACTTAGACCAAACCAGATCCACCTTCTGCGTACATAAAGAAGAAATAACCACTCGAACTGTTTTAAGAGTTGTTAATTCATTTTATTCACTGTATTTTTATCCTGAGAGTTGGTTAATAGCTTATATTGTTTAACTGAATAATTAGTCCAGTGTGTGGGCTACTTGATTTCTTTGTGTAGTTGCAATAGTCTTATACATATATGTATAGACACAGGATAGATTGGTTATTGTACTGATGATTTCTGCTGGTCTAATGAAAAGGGCAGTTAATGCTTAACTTTTTTTACCCTCTCTCCTTTTTAATTTTTGACCAATTTTACATGCTTATGTCTGGTAATCTGAACAATTAATTTGAAGACAACAATATGCAATATAGCAGCCATTGTTGAATTTCTATCATTTTGTTTAGTGAAGTTATATGTTGTTTTTAATGGTTTTTTTACTATGTTTTATTTTCTTCAGAAATAAGCTACTCATACAGGGGCAATATGCTAAAAAAAAATCTACTGCTATGAGGTCTTTAAATGAAATTATAATATTTTATAAGATTAATCAAATGTATGCATCAGGGAAAGAGCACTAGGATGAAGAGAAAAAAAAATTCTAAGATGAATTCCAAGGGCAGCTATACCAAAACACAGGTATAGTCTGATTTGGGAATAATCCTATACTATTTTTCAGAGAGTTAAAGTTAGCATTATATGGGAAGATTAGCCTATGACTACTTGTGAAAAAGTAATAGGAATGGTTGAATACAGAATTTGTCATCTAATACAGACTCTATGTTATGGATCTCTTGTGCAAAAAGTTAAAAAGATTATTTAACAACAAAAGTATCCTTGTCTCTCTCATTTTTCCTCCTCCCCTGAGCTACTACCCTACCACAAGAATCTGATATAGTTCAGCTTTCATTTCTGACACCAATGTCCAGTGATGCCCAAATCAGAGTTTCCAGCCCCTCCTCCACGTCAGTTTGCTTCCACATTTCAGCCTGCTTCACAGAAGAAGGTCTAATCTGAAGGAACAAAGCACACCCTTGTAGTTGTATCTTGCAGAATGTGCAAGCAAACCTCATGATCCTGGACTCCAGTCTTATGTGTAGAGAATCTTTTTTCTTTTGGTGGAACCAGGGATTGAACTCAGGCCCTTGCACTTGCCAGGGAAGCACTTATTCTACTGAGCCATCTCCCCAGCTCCATCTGTTTAGAATCTTTATAGTCTATAGGAAGGAAATCATTTGCAAAGTATATTTTAACCAACTAGATCAATTTTTGCCCACTTGGTAACAAGTCAAGGCATGATTTAAAACCTCTGATGATATGAGTTCACAAGACTGTGGATGACCTTTGTATTCTCCTTCATTCTTTGCATTGTGATGGTTTTGTTAAGATGCTTTCTAACAGAGCTATTATGTTCAGTGTTATTATAAGTGAGGCTTCAGAGTTTGAGAGACAATTATGGTGGTCTTTAGGTATATTTCTTGATGACTTGATTAAGTCTCAGAGAGAAATGGCCCAAAGAAGTAAAATTCCTAATGCTGGAAGCAGCATCCAAACATTAATCTAATATTATCATTAGCTGAAGAGAACTGTCTGGTGTCTGATGTTGCTGGTGTTCTACAAAATATATCTCCACTATGTATACATATAAGGTATATTATTCAGTATTAAAATCTAGCAATGAGAGATGGAGAGTAGAATGTATAAAAATGAGTTCAAAGTAAAAAAAAAAAAAGTTTGGGAAGACATTTATCCAAGTTGGCCAACAGCTAGGAAATTCTTTTTTTGTTCTTTGGAAATTCTTTGTACAACTCAAAGCTTTACAAGATTTAATGTACCCCCAAAAAAATAAGACATGATGTACCCCCCAAAATAAGACAAATGATTGCTTTTTCATTTTTCTTTTTCTTTTTTTGAGTCAAGGTCTCATATATAGCACAGGCTGGCCTCAAACTCCCAGCAATCCTCAGCCTCGGTAATGCTGGGATTGCAGGTATGATTACAACACCTGGCTGACTCTTACCTCCTTTGGAAGGTGAAGTAATTTCTGCTGGTCCATCGTTGTCACTAAATCCTTACCCCTCACCTCTTATCCTCTCAGATACCTGGTCTGTACCTGCCCTCTTCTCTTAAAGATCTGTGGAGTCTTTTCCTTTCCACAGATAAAAGATCACTTTACTATCATCTTTGAAAGACAGTAATTTCTTCCCCCAATGGTTAGACCTTCTTTATTTCACATTCTGAGGCTTCTCCCTTTCATAGTAGAGGCTATTAAAGATGCTTGCTAATTTTAATAATCAACGAGAGGCTAAAAGTGACACTTGCTTTGAAATCCAAGTCTCCTTAATTCCTCTGACATAACCCTACTTCTTTGAGTCATTTTGCTCAATCTCCACTCCACTGAGTGCTGGTATTTCCATCTGACCCTTTTTCACTGTCCTGTATTATCATGCATAATTAAGATTTTGGAACTCCTTAGATACTGTCTATATACAAATCTGCATCCATTGCAGACCTTTCCGCAAACCTCATGTCTATATTTGAATTGCCTCCTAGAGGGCCGCACCTGAGCTTTCCTTAGAAAAGCCTTTCCTCACTTGAAAACAAATGGGGGATGAATCCACAGCAGGTGTCACAGGGACACTCTGGGCACCAATCGAGACAATGCACCTGGCACTGCAGACATTCAGTAAATGTTTTCTCCTCCTTGAGATATCTGCTTCCTTCCACCCTCTTCCCCCCACACTCCTTCTGTACACCACTGCTGGATTACTCTTTGTAAAAACAAGTTTCATTGTTTTAATCATCCATTGAAATGTTATGGTAGCCTAAATTTTCTCAGGCTATTCAGCTAAGAATTCAAACACTCTACTGCTGATTGCTATGAAGGATTTTTTTTTTTTTGGGGGGGAGGGTTTAGCAGAAATTGAAATCAGGACCTCATGCTAGCCAGGCAGACGCTGCACCGCTAAGCTGTATCTCCACCACCAGCACCGCCAACACTTACCACGTGCTTTTGCACATCAAACCAAATACCTGGATGATTTTGCCACACTGTGTCTCTCTAGTATTTTCCTATATTGGGCTTCACACTGTTCCCTCTTTACCTCCTAAAACCTGGGTCATCCTCTTACTAATGTCTCATCTCTCAGTGAGTCCATGGGCCACTTCTAGGTTCTTATCTCCTGATCTCACCAAGAAGATAGAAAGAACTGATGCCATGGTGCCCAAAAATAAATATTTTATACATTTTCACCTTATCTGTGTTTCTCAAAGGCATCCTTCATATGTATGTGTGATCCTGCGTGGTACCAGTTATGGAGCTTTCTACATAATAAAGTCACATTGATTAATTGCTGATTAGCTTCACGGCAGGATAATACTAATTGCTTTAATGTGTAACCAGTTAGTCTATATTTTACTGGGTACGCTTACATTTCAATGCATTGGTACTACTGTTAAAACAGTAGGTTGGATAGAGAAAGCAGGAATTGGGTTATGCCTTCCAAACACAGTGGCTACATAATGTTCACACAGTGAAGGCAGGTTCCATGAAAATATTTTAAATGAACCAAATATTAGAAGACTGGCAATATACTAATTCTTTGCATGAAAAAGTTACTTTGGGACCAAATATCTTAGCAGATTGAAACTTCTGCAAGCAGGTACAGGGGCTGGGGGTTTGATCCCCAGGCCTGCCGGGCCCGCCAGCCCCACCACTGGGGTGCGCTGAGACAGTGACTGAGACTGGGTGCGGTGGCACACGTCTGTAATCCCAGCTTTTGGGAGGCTGTAAACAGGTGGGTCACTACGAGTACGATCTAGAAGTGAGACCCTGAACACCCCTCCCTAAAACACACACACACACACAAAGTTACTGTGGAAAACTGAAAATATCCTTTATATAAAAATTACTCAAATTCAATTGTCTGTTAGGAAAAAATGTTATTAAATTTTGGCTATTTCTAAAAATGTCAGATTTCTCTTACCAGAAGATGTATTCTTTTTAAAAAATACCTATCTATCTATCTATCTATCTATCGCTTTGGTAGAGGATCTCGCTGCACAGCTCAGACTTGTAGTGATCCTCCTGTCTCAGCCTCCCCACCACTGGGATTACAAGTGTGCACCACCATGCCTGGTTTCAGTGGCCAGCTTGGCGTGGGGCTGGTATGGCATGCGATACTGGGGATTGAACTCAGGTTGTTGCAATTGCCAGTCAGGCACTTAGATCACTGAGCTATCTCCCCAGCCCAGAAGAGATATTCTTGATCACTAGCCAATATTCTTCTTGAATTGACTGTTCTTATTACTTGTATTTTTTTTTAACATGTAACAGTTTTAGTTAAAGATTACATAATATCTCATTTTACACAATAGGAAGGTTGAAAAGGCTGATTCATATAAATGGAATTTCTATAAATCAAATAATAAATGCCTTAAATGCATTACCTAATTGACTTTCTTAACAGTTATTTTATAAATAGCTATTTTAAGGCATATAGTCACTAATTTATCTGATTTATAAATTTAGATTTTATTTATTTTATTTTTTGGCTGAACCGGGGATTGAACTCAGACCCTTACACTTGCCAGGGAAATACTTATTCTACTGAGCCATCTCCCCAGACCCTAAATTTAGATTTTAATGTAATATATTTACCTTCAAGTGATACCACATGTACTTTAAAAACTTTTTACTATATAGAAACATTTATGATAATTTTTCCCTAAATGTCAAATTTACCCTCAATAATTTCAAAGATTAATTTGTCTTCTCCTAACTATCTTTAAAATTCACATTATAACAAATATATACATTTGTTCTATCTAGCTATCAAACATGTGTGCTTAAGAGATAAGACCTCTGGAATTACAGAGATGTGATTAACATGCATGATTTTAAGTTAATATATTTTTATGACATCTAAGCTGTGCCTTCATCACAGAAGGACAGTATGAACTGAAGCAATCTTAGTCGCTTAATTAGTAACTAACAACTTAGTTATTGACATGCTCAGGCTAGCTCAGTGTCAAATTAGCAAAGCACTGTATTTTTCCTCTAAATTTGTATTCTACAGAAAGATACTAGTTTTGGGAAAATTTTGATACAATGTTCATCTGTTAAATTAACTTATGTTAATAAGTCTTAATTATAATTGCAAAATCATTAACATAGACAATTTATGATTTTAACACATTCACAAATTCAAATGTCTACACATACAATCCCACTCATATTGCGCACACCATTTCAAAAGACACATTAGTAGCAGGCACACAGATTTAAATATTAAGCAAGCTATTTCTATGCAGATGAAATTTAAAAGCAAAGAAAAGTTGTCACTCCAACAAGTTCCTTTAATGGTACCTGAATCGCTAAGTACTTCCTCATCAATAAAGTGATCACCAAAATGTTTAAAAGCTGTTCAACATACAAGTGAAGATGAGAATGATGATCCCACACAACAAAATATGTGCATCCATGGATGCTGAACACAGTTGGCAAATATTAGGACAGAACTCAAACTTACAATACATACTTGGAACTGCTGGCTTGAGCAATATTTTTTAGTTTACTCCTGATAATACATTGTTTCAACATTTTCATAAACTCTTGTACAAGCTTAGACAACTGAATCCTACTACCATTGGTGATATAACAAATTAGTTTCAAATAAGGACATCTCAATGTAAAGGTTTATCTTAGGATTTTATGTTAAAGAAGCTAAAATGATTGTTTTTACTATTTCTCCATAAAAAAGCAATTAGTATTAGATCTAGTGCCATCCTCTGTGATGATTTTTTAAACATACACATTTTCTATATACATATGATAATAAATTTTAATTGTGTATATTTAACATTGATAGAAACTTATATGTTGCTTTTTTTTAGTAACTTTTTTTTAATCCAAACGGAATGTCGCATGGAAATTCAAAATATAAAAAAGGAAAAGTCAACTACTTTAACTGAAGCAGAAGGCCCCATCTCCAGCCCTAGTGCAGTGCCTCATGCCTGGGCCCAGGTAGCTCAGTTAAAAAAGTAGCCTTCTCCAGACTTCAAAAACCACAGCATTAGGTAATTTTTTTAATCCATTCTTAAATTACAGGCTACATCTTTTTAACTTAAGGAACTGCTTACCAATAAGGGGAAATCAAAATATACGATGAATATTTAAATTGTAAAAATTTATTACAGCAAAACATAATTGCCACTAATCATCTCCAATCCTGCTCCATGTCTTGAACACAGTTATCAAGTTATTCTCTCCACTTGTGTAAAATGCTATCTAAAACTCAGTGACTACTGCTGCTGCCATTCAAGGAAAAAGACAGGTTCATAAAGAGTGTTCTCAGCCACCTTGTTTGCCAGGTCTGGCACTGGCCAACTTCTAGCTCCTCCCCAAAGTCAAATTAAGCATGAAAGTAAAGGATTTGAATCCATTCAGTATAACTGAGACAGCCACAACAATGCAACTAAAGAGAGTCTTAAAGGGACTTCCAGAACTTCCTCAGAAATTGGCAAGAATTATGGGACAAGTGTATTCAAAATGGCAGGGAATAATTTGAGAGGGAATAATGGCAATGTATTGTTTGCTGTAATAAATTATTAAAAACTTTAAACACACCATTTTTAAATCCTACTTCACCCATGGAAACTGTACCATTTGTTACTTGCTATTTTTAAAGTTTTCTCTAAGGCTCTTTTCCTTTGGATTTAATACACATCCTGTACATTAAATCCAATCAGAAAGTAGAGATTTCTAGGGCTGCAAGGACAGCCAATACTTTGGCCCTAGCCTTTCAAGGTCAGTGAGGACTCAGGACATAGGAGATCCTGTACTGTAACATCATGTAACTCAGTTGTGGTCCAAATTTTCTGACCAAGATTATGGGGCCACAGATGAAAGTGATCAGTGATGTAGAGTGTGCCTAAAGAGAGTCACATGCAGAGAAAACATTCTCTCAGGCTTTCACAGAGTGCAAACTGGTCAAGCAATGGCCGTGACTCATCCACATGGCTGACACTGACAAAGGATCTACAAACTGCAGTACAGGGTTTCAGGATAAATCCTGAGGGAATTTGACTGACCTTGGCAGATACAAAAGTTACATTTCTTATTATATAGGTCTTGCTTTATCTTGGTCTAAACCATCCAACAGAAAAGTATAAAAACAAAGTATAAGAAGTAAAGCCATATTAATATGCTGAGCTGTAAAAGGCTCAAGTCAACAACTTCTGATGTTGCCAGTCTTACGGAAAACCCACTACTATTATGAACTATTAGACTATATTGGAATATTGGAATTTTTGCTGAATTCATGCACCTACAATATTTAAATGACAATGAATGCCCTTCTTAACAAAACTAATCAAAAATGGGGGATACAAATGAATGAGCATTTTGTATCTGTATACTCAAAATAGTTAGGATAGAGGTACAGCTGCATTCTCTTAATTCAGTGAATAGAGAGATTTGTTCTAATAGTGTTTGTGGACAGAATATCATGTCTGCATCTTGTACAATGAATAACCACTAAGACAACAATATGCAATGTATTAATTATTAAAAATGCTAGTAATCAGGTTTTTTCTGTTTTTTGTTTTTGTTTTTGTTTTTTGGGGGGTTTTTTGGACAGAACCGAGGATTGAACTCAGGCCCTTGCGCTTGCCAGGGAAGCGCTTATTCCACTGAGCCATCTTCCTGGCTCAGTAATCAGTTTTGAAACTGTCTCATTGCTATTTGTTTCTTAATAAAATTATTTTTTTTTTAAAAAGAAAGTAGAAATTTCTTAATCTGGCACTGCTGAAGAAAATCTTAAAGTCTTAAGGCATTTGAATAAAAATTATTTTGAAAGCTAGAGATAATAGCTCTGTGGCAGTACATTTGCCCCTAGCAGTAGGGCATTATCTCAGCGTGCTTGAAGCCTTGGATTTGATCCCAGCACCAAAACCAAACCTCGTTGCACATAATCAAACTATACATTAAAACATAATTTCATTACCAAGTAAATAGTTTATCATATGACCCGTTTCTGGTTTCTTTCCTCTTTTCCAGACCTATTAATTAAAAAAACATTAATGATAACAGAAAAAAAGCCGATTTATGAAAGGTTACCCTAAACAATGGCAAAGTAAATATATTGAAACAAAAGTGACAAAAGGACTTCCAGTGCTGAGGTGCTGTCATGCACAGAAGCAGTTTGGTCCTGAAAATAAGGACAATTTGCTCTTGTGCAATAATAGAATGGTTGTTAGAGAAGACGGAATCTGATCTTACCCTCTTCATCAGAAACATCAAGGACCTCCGTCATCGTCTCAGGAACATTCAGCTTGTGTTTTTCCGTGATAGTCTGGAAAGAAAAATCATTAAAAGATTAAAAGAATCACAGAAGTGGCCATCGTAGAGTGGTGGTAAGCTCTCAGGCCCCGGGCAACCCACTGTAGACTGGCATGTCTACAAAAACTTTTCTCTCTCCTGAAACTCATTTGTTCTTCCTTGAGATGAATGATCCTTGACTCAAGCTGAACAAGAAGAGGATCATTACCCTGAGTTCCCATTTGAAAAACAGTCTTTAGTAATGGCATTGATAATGTCACATTGAGAAAGTAGATTGTTTTCAAGCCTCCCCTAAGATGAACTAAGTGATTTTTCCAGAGAAGCTTTAAAAAGAAGCAATGAACCTATGCAATTTATTAAAAGCAAAGCCACTGGAAAAGAAGCTGTAATCAATGTGAGTCATAAATTGCAGACAATGGAGCACTTCTTTACTTGAGTTAGAGGATCAACAGGAGGCAATTGATTGCCTTTATAGATACACTGGGTTAACATTTTGCTGTGTTGCTTACATGCCTTCCACAGTAGCACCCCAGGGTACCCCAATCCACTGACTGCATTCGTGATGTGCAGTGTAAGGTTAAGAGTCTAGTTTCATTACATATCAGCTATGAGGACTTTCCAAGCCCCTCATACCCCTGTGTCTCGATTTCCTTATCTATGAAAGAAGGGTAAGAAACATTTCCTAGCTGGCATCTTGGTGCACACCTCACTCCCAAAACTCTGGGAGACTGAGGCAGGAAGATTACAAATTCAAACCCAGCCTGGGCAGCTTTGTGAAATCCCATCTCAAAATAAAAAATTTAAAGAGGGGACAGGGATGTAGCTCAGCGTAAAAGCTAAGAGTTCGATCCCCAGTATCAGAGGACATGAAAAGTAGTGTTTTAAAATGGTAATAAAAGTTAGTGAAATAATATACTCAAGAGTTCTAACAGCTGTACTGGCATAAGCTAGCGTTCATTAAGTATGGAGTGACATCGCTTATTTTATTATAGTCCAAAGTTAAATTCCTGGGGGCTGAGGAGATAGCTCAGTAGAATAAGCACTTCCCTGGCAAGCATAAGGGCCCGAGTTCAATCCCCGGTTCCACAAATAAATAAATAATAAATAAATAAATAATAAAAAACCAACAAAGTTAAATTCCTCTTAAACATGAAAGGGCTCTGTACTTTTTATTCACTTATTCACTCATGAAACATGGTGACGGCCCACTTCACACCAGTCATGCTGGTTTCCAGATACCACAGCTAGTTTTTAAAAAGGAAATCAGGCATAAGCAGATGAACACCACGCGACCTCATCAATACACAGAAGCCAAAGTGTCCCACTCAGAGAAGAAGAGAGGATGTGTCCACCAGGGGCCAAGATGGCCCAGGGAGCAGGGAGCTGTGCTCAGTGGTTACAGATGTTCACGTCAGCAGGAGGACTCAGTTCAAGACCCCAAGTGCCCCAAACACTAAGGTACGGTATATGTGCGCAGGCACACACAGAACAGAGAACATGATGGGGTGGGGATATTATATTAATTAGCGAGACTTGCTCATTCCATCGTGTACAAACACTATGCAGTATGTAATGTACGTGGACTATTTTTGCCAATTTTAATTAAAAAAACACAAGTTCTGAATTAAAAAGATAAGACACCTAAATCTAATGAGTTACATATATATTTCACTGAAAGACTGCTGAGACTCAGATTCTTGTTTCTATAGTTTCTGTTTTGAAAATGTACTAAATACATCATTCCGCAGTTATGGGAACTTAGAAGGCTAATTCCTTACCATAAAATTAAAATCTTCAACTAAAGAATCGAAGGACAATATAAAGTAGCTTAGAGCCAGCGAGATAGCTCAGTAGACTAAGCACCTGCTTAGGCAAGTGCAGGGACTGGGATTTGATCCCTGGCACCACATGCTGTGCTGGCCTCACCCCCAGGCATGCTGAGGTGGCCACCAGCACTGGCGTGATGGTGCATGCCTGTAATCCCAGCACTGGGGAGGCTGAAAACAGGAGGATGACTATGAGTCCAAGCTGCACAGTGGGACCCTGTACCACAGACATAAAAAAAAAAAAAAGAAAGAAAGAAAGAAAGAAAGAAAGAAAGAAAGAAAGAAAAGAACTAGAAAAAAAAAGAACTAGCTTAGATTTTTAAGCTTTGTTACATGGTGCTTGAAACTTGCTTAGAAGACTATCGTGGCCCTTCAACCAATTCTTTTCTTTTCAAAGCTGTAGAGAACTTTGAGTGTACTCAAGGAAATACAATGGATGATCTAGTGAAACAGCATAGTTGTAAACATACACATGTATAATATGTGAGTGTTAAGAGAATTAGTATTAAGAGAATTAAATACTGCATATACTTTTTGGTAGTTTTCCACTTTCTTCAACACAGAACTAAATAAAGGAGTTCTCTTGTGACACAGCAAAGAGGGACAAGCAGGGTGTCCCACCTCTCACTTCAGGCTGCACCCACGTTGGATGGCTCGCATCACCCGCAGAGATGCTCCCAAAAGCCTCAGAGCTGGTCCACACATTCTTTCACTTCATGTTCTCTCTTGGCTCATCTTAGCTGCATCAACCTTGGAGAAACATCGCCGTGACCACTCCCTTCCCCTCAGCGATCTCCTCTAACTGCCCATCTGCTGCTCCACGCTCCTAGAGCACACACGCAATGCCTCAGGCCTCACCTATCTGTCTGCCTCCTGCACAGGAGCAGGACTCATGAAACAAAGAACCTGAAACTCAATTTGTGTTTCTCAAATATAGACTAAAAAGCTGGTGGCACAAAATTAATCAAAAAATACATTTAAATTCCATTAAATGATTCAATAGATTTTCTTAGAAAGTCTTATGGAGGGGCTGGGGAGATGGTTCAGTAGAATAAATGCTTGCCTGGCAAGCTCAAGGGCCTGAGTTCAATCCCTGGTTCCGAAAAAAAAAAAAAAAAAGAAAGAAAGAAAGAAAGTCTTATGGCATCCAGCTGAAGGTACAACAGAAGCCCAGGGTAACAAATTTAAGTCACCTGTGTGTTCTTATGAGGGTTAATTTCAGAGTGATACATTCACAGAAAGTAAACTAAATGCTGGACAGTCTAAAGATCTGGAGAAGACTAGATGGTGGATAAATATTTACTGAATTAATGAACCTAAAAAGACCATTACAAGCCAGGTGTGGTAGACCATGTCTGTAATCCCAGAATTCTAGGCGGCTGAGGCAGGAGCATTGCCAGTTCAAGCCAAGCTTGACTTAGTGAGAACTTGTCTCAAAATTTTAAAAAATGAAAAAGAGGTAATGGTCTAGACATAGTTCATCGTAAAGGCCTCAGTTCAATTCCCAGTAGTGTAAAAGAAAAATATTACAATATAGCATTTGTTTTTATTTTAATACTGTAAATTTGACTTTATATGCTTAATTCAAGTTACAATTTACATTCTATATTAATGGTACTCAACTCTAGCTGCATATTAAAATTACTGAAGGAATTTTAAAAATACTTTTTTGGGGATCCCATCACAGATCAGCTGAATCATAAGCTCCAAGGTCTGAGTCCATCGATTGATATTTTTGGTTTTTGCAACAGGGTTTCACGATGTATCGTAGGCAGACCCTGAACTCACTATGAAAGCTAGGTTGGCCTCAAAGTCATGGCAATCCTCCTGCCTCAGCTTCCCAAGTGCTGGAATTATAGGTATGTATCACTATGCCTAGCATGAGTTTTACTTTGAAATTCCTCAGTGAGTCTCTTGTACCACTCAGTTTGAGACTCATTTCCGTGCACAAGTGGTGGAAAATGACTTTAACTTAAAATATAAGACAGAGACAGTGCCACTACAACATCTTTTTAAACTGTTTGGAAACTTTATAGATGAGTGCCTAGAGGCACATAAAATGACTCAGAAATGTGGATACAAGTCTACTGTATTTGATTACACAGTAAGTCCACTTTCTCGCACAAATATTCCATAGTGTTTGCCCTTCACGGTAATATTTCCCCAAGAGGATGATGCTGCATTTGAAAATCACTGTGGACATACTTCTTAAACCATTGCCTGGCAGCAATGTCTATTTTCAGATACTGATCATTTTTGTGTGCCAGGAGTCAAACTCAGGACCTTGGGTTTGCCAGGCAGATGCTGTACCACTGAGCTATCTTCCCTGGACTATTTTCAGATAATGATGATGGGAATATATATATATATATATATATATATATATATATATACAGTCTTGAATTTGTAAGATAGGGAATAACCAATTTGCTTTAGTTTGATCATTGAAAGTTATCAAACTTGTTATAAGCAAGATGAACAGGGGCACACAGTGGTCACTGGTCATCTTGTTCATGGATATTTTTCTGTCCCAGTACTCAAAAACATTTGATAAACAACCCAGTAAATAAATACAGCAGGTATTTGCATATGATATGGTGGTTAACCTTTAGAGACCGACAGTAAATTATTGGTTTAATGGATGGCAAATAACTCTTCCTACTCACGAATAATGTAATAAGACAAGTATATACATTTTCTTTTTAAACAAAGTATCCTTTGAAAACTTGATTACTGAAATATAAACATGGTTTTACCCATCTCTGTTTGAAAAACACGTGGAAAACACACAGCTATAATTAAACAATCACATGAATCTCCTTCTGCTATAGAATCTGAGGAGCTATGGTCAAGATTAGAAATGACCTTATAAAGTTTAAATGCATAGTACACTATGCACAAGTTTAATAGGATTCAATTAAATCACATAATAACTTTTTATAAGATATCACAATATAGGGAAAATGTAAAGAACAAACCATGGGTCCATAACACAATATTTTATAAATGGTAGATAATACCTGGAATAAAAAAGTGTGCTCAATTGACCAGCACCTAGCAAATCCCCCTTAAGGCCCCACTTCCTTCCTATCTCCCAGTCACTAAACCATGTGGCACAGCCAATGGCTGTGGCCAGCATGTCACTTCCTGATGCCCACACCATGGGCTACCATCTCAGGAGCTGCAGTCTGAGCTGGTATTTGCTTGCAAACATACTCATACCAATCATACATGTTAACATAACTTTCCTAATTAAGTTACATACTATGTGAATGATATTTTTATGAAAACTTAAGCACATACTCTACCAATTCTGTCTGAAGAAGAGTCACCAAAGATAACTGCTACCCCACATTAGGTGTGGCAGAAACACATGTAACAGGTTGAACAAAAATGTGTGAAAAGTTTAGAAAGGTTCTGAACTCAAGATAATGTCTCTTTAAGAAAGCACATAGGATTTATAAATATTTTATAGATTCTACATACATGCATACTATAATGCTCTTCTTGATGTGATTTGTGTAAGAATAACAAAGTAGCCATCTAGTTTGGACTTATACTATATGTACAAGAATGATGGCTCAATAAGCACCAGATACCATTAATTTATTGCATTGCCACTTTTATGATTCTCTTTGTAACAGATACTAGTATATAAGATTTAGGACTTAAGACTATTTTCTTAACTGCTTGTGATAAATTTCTCCTTATTTAAACAATAATATCATTAATGCCTAATATTTTTATTTTAGTAATTTATTAAGTCATTTATACCAGACTTACTAATGATTATATGCAACATAAAGTATAACTGCATACAGATAATGAATACAAGTGATGACAGGTAACCATGGGGTAGGGGAGGAGTCACATCTAGCAATTTTGCAAACTACCTGAGTAGACTGGCCAGAAGCGTGTCTCTATCACCCGATGTGGGTTCTGGCAAACACAGGGTGACTGTGTCCCCAGCAGAATGGCAAACTGTCTCATCTTCCCTGCTGTGCTTCCCAGAGTAAAGTTAGAAAAGCAAAGGTTAAAGAAACAAACCGCGATTCCAAAGTGTCTCAGAAATGCCTGCAGCAGCAACGATTCCTTTACAAACTGCTGCCTTGCTCTGCTGGCTGCACAAAGGCCTATTCATACTTTGGGGCAAAGAACTCTAGAGAGAAGAGAAGCAAAGGGGACTTTCTTTTATCTTCAGAACTCACAAGGCTGCTCAACGAGGACATCACACAACCCCGGTAGACGGGAAAAGAGCACATCATGCATGCGGCTCTAACTCAGCTGTTACACTTAATGGTAGTAACGTCGACTATAATTTTATTAATTTTACCTCATTATTACATTGTCTCGTGTTGCTTGCTATTGTGAGTCAACAGTTCCAAACTATTTTTAGTAATCTATAGACTTCAGAAAATTGTATTGAATATAATGCTCCCAGAAAAGCCAACAAAAGGCACTGTTTTACTGGGGATCTTTATTGAAAACTAAGTAAAAGCAGTTCTTTCACAGAGCTGCTATGAAGTTACTTTGAAACACAACCAAGACCAGGAGTGTGACAGTAGTTAGAAACATGTGCTTTGGAATCCAGCAACCTAAATTTCAATCCTAGATCAGCCCTCCAAGGCTGGAATATACTTAACACTAACGATTATTTATTATTTTAATACCATTAACAACACATTAGGTGAGAAAGAATAAATGTGGGGAAAATTATTGAAACTTTCTTCCTAAAGAAAGGAAGTATGATGTAAGAAGATCCCCAGAATAGACAAAACCAAATTCCTATTTCCACTCCTTATCTTCAAATTTCAACTCAGAAAACAAGAAAACAAACTCATAATTCTATGCAAAGCCAATTTAGAGAAAGTACAGGTTAAAGGAGAGAGAGAGAGAGAGAGAGAGAGAGAGAGAGAGAGAGAGAGAGAGAGAGAGAGCTCAAACTACATGACCACTAAATGTACCCACCTGGATAAAGACCTGTTTAGTTAACATGGACAACGATTCCTTATTATCTTAGCTGAAATGCTTTTACGTTTAGTATGTTTTCTCACCTTAAAACTCAAAGAGAGTATAGAGAATAATAACAATAATAAATATAGAGAATAGGAATAAAATAAAACACAGAGTGCAAAAAAGCACTGTCATGTGTCCCTACAGCTAAGTGTGATAAGAGAGATGACTTCTTTATACACGTCTGAGAGCTTGCCTAGAGACAGTAATTAGAATGTTGAGAGACAAACTGGAGAAAGCTAATGGCTCTGCTTTTAACATACAGACCTTCATGGTTAAAGCTTTTGGCTCCAAATAATAGTTATAAACCTGGGTGCTCTTTGAAACTGAATATGTAAGTTTTCTAGTATTGATGTAAAGGAAGAATTACATCCTTGCAAAGTATAAATCTCATTCTTCTCTCTGATGACACTTCAGCACATCACATAGAGCCAGCACATACCATATATCCAATTAATAATGAAAGAATCAATTATTTAATAAAATGTAGAAAAGCAAGTCTGAGACAGCAAGAGAGACACATGCCTGCCATCTAGTGGTACGGTATCAAAATTAAACACATAATTTCCAAAGTGTGGCAGAAGTAATAAAAATGGGGGGAAAAAAAGGTTTCTAACAACAGGTATGTTTAGCTAATCTTGTCACAGTTCATTTATTTGTGATTCACACATTGTTCTAAAGGAATCAAAATAAAGTGGTATATATGTATAGGTCCTGAAAATGAACAGCATCCTCCTATAATAAATCATATAGCAAGAAAATACAAGGAAGATTCAGTCATACAGAAAGAATTTTAGATATCTTCACCACAAAGAAATGCTAGATGTGTGAGGGGCCAGATATTTTTTACCCTGAATTTAACTTTACACAGTAGATATGGGTATCAAAACATCACAAGATGCCCTAAGAAATATGGACAACTTTTTGTATCAATGTGTCAATTAACAAAATTAAATGAAATAGAACTTGAGCATAAAAATTCAGCTACATATAATGACCCACAAATACTGTGATAGGAAGTGTTTAGACTGGTTTTCTTCTGTATAATTTATATAAGCTATGCCTTAAATCATTAAAAATATTGGCTATAAGTATTAAGATACCACTTATGCAAACAGTGCTGTTCTCTCCCATTTCCATCTATCCAGCCTGTATCCTGCAGTTCATTAATAAATCATAGTCCACTCTATTTAAAACTGCATGTAAACCAACTATTTTTCATTTACCTCAGTGGACATCAAGAGGAACTTGCTGTCAGTAGACAGAACACAATTCTCTTCTTTCCTTCCCATCTATCAAAAGAACCAAGTGTTCTCAGATTCTCACTGCACCATTTCTAGCCTGGGGCATTTACTAGAACCTTCTTCAGAATTCTTTATTTATTTATGCTTTTACTGTCTCTATAGAATCCCTGTTTTCCTGGTGTTCTAATTTTCTACTTTACAAAGACAGAGTTGCCCTTAGAATCCTTACTTAAAGAGAAAATCAGCAAACAATGCAAATGCCACAGCATTTCCAGGTTCTTCAGAAGCCTCCAGGCAGCTTTGTTCAGGCCAAATAACGAAGAAACATCAGGAGTCCACAGCTCAGGGTCTGCACCCTTCCCAAATTTCTCTGGCAAAGGCCACTGGGCACCACTGTTCTCTCCTGAGGACTCAATCATTGTATTAAAGTAGTGAAAACAAAGAGGGAAATTTAAATACAGTCTCATGATGCAGACAGTTTACCTAGTAAGCGTGAGCAACTTTCTTTTTAATAAAAAACAATCTGAAATAAGAAGACAAATGAGGTTGTATGAATCAACCTCTCTGGCAGTGGCTTGACCCAGCATTCACAGCCTGGGTCAGGAGCTGCAGGTCCCTGTAGAGTTGACCAAGCAGGCTAAGATCAAGGGGTTTGGTGCAGGGTGAGAGTGTGCTACCATTAGCCAGGGTGTCCCATACTAGACTGAGAGGGCAGAGGAGCCAGGAGAAAGTCACAAAAAGGTGCTGAATCTTGTAATGCTGAATTCACACATTTTATATGAGGTCATGTCAACTGCAAGAAGCCCCGGCCCTGTTTTCCTTGTGTAAAGCATTTAGCTCTGCATACTTCTGTATATATTCTGCAATGTATTTAGCAAAAGAAGTGCCACACCGAGTGCTCTAAACACTGAGAGTGACCAAGTATGTGGCTGGAAAGTCACAACAGCTGACTTGTCCCTTGTACTCACCGTCGTGGTGGTGGTGACCTCTTCAGTCACAACCTTCAGTGTGTCGACCACAGAGATGTAGCCCAGCCGCTTCGCGATGGCCAAGGCGGTGTTACCATTCTGAAGGGAGAGTGAAAGAGAGAAGAGAGTGAGAACCGAGACGGAGGATGGCGATGTGGGCCAATGAGCTCACCCGCAGCTCTGCATGAGCCAGCATTTCCTTCCAAAGCAGGCACAGCTTAGGAAAATCACTAGTTTTTACCATTACATCTAAATCTGTCTTCGTAACTTCTTTAGACTATAGCCCAGGTCACCATGGTAACACAACAAGCTTGAGTCTGTTTGCTCTTTTTAATAAGAAGCACTTGATGCTTTAACCCTAAGGTTGTCAAACATCTACGAAGTCCTGAGACTAGCAAAGTATGTACTGAATTGAAGACGGTGCCTCCAAAGACTCTTAGGAGCACCAGGTACACTTACTCCCACCAGAGGTCAGACCATCTGCTGCAGGTTACCCCTGGGAAACCAGTGACATATTTAGCTCCAGTTGTGTGGGAGCTCAGGCTGCAGCAAAATAACACAAGCCAGTGATTCAGGCTGCCTGGGATCCCGGTTTGTTTAACTGCTCCACTTAGTTTACATTTCAATTGCTCCACATCCCAGTGAGCTTTGTCTGAGCCAGCAGCTCAGAAATGCTGCTCCCTTAAGAAAGCAGGGAGGGAGGGCGTGATTCCTGCTCACATCTGAGAACCAGCTGCAGGCAGAGCACGTTCCATCCGCCCAAACCCAGGGTTCTGTTCTCCGGAGAGCAAAGGGAGCGCAGCCAACTGAGCTTGGCCAAGTGGCGTCCCTCCCTAGGGAAGTCACTCTGACTTCTGGGAAGATTTTTCTAGAAATCAGGGGTTTTCCAGAGTCCAGAAGCTTTTTTAAGTTGCACATATGAGCTCAGATATGAGGCCCCTTGGGCCAGAAAGGAGGAAGGGTCAGAGCACAGTGAGGGGCAGGGCATGTGCCTCTGGCTTACCGCGGTGGTGGCGTTGGGCTTGGCTCCATGTTGAAGCAGGACATTGATGATGTGTGTGTGGCCCTGCTGGGCAGCCTGGTGCAAAGGTGTGTAGCCATTCTGAGGTTGGAGGTGGCAGCGATTTGCAGGGGTAGAGGAAAATGAGGTTAGCCTGCAGTTTTTACTTCCTGGTCTTATTTACAACAAAACCATCAAAGTTGCTTTGTTTACTTAGACCCAGTTTTCCCAGCAACCCATTTCTCAGCAGCAAACCCTCCCTCACACCTTCTGCTCTGCTAAACAAAGATACTAGCTTATGAAACAAGGAGATAAAAAGACTCTCAGAACAGAACTATTCTCATCTGGTGAGCAATTAGCATTAGAAATGGGTATGCACAGAGGAGATTTAAAGTGGCAAAAGACATTGTCTCTGGTTTCTTCCTTAGTTAGGAAGACAGTAAAACAAAAAAAGGCTGTTTAAAAAAAAAGGCTGCAGAGAGTCACACAAACTTGTTTTTTTATCCTCCTGCCTTTCCTAGCAATTAACCTTTGGGTTTGCTTCACAGTTTCTAAATCAATGAAAATAAATCTAAGCTTATATTCATTTCTGAGAATGGCGTTGGGTATAGAACACACCCATGCACTTAGAGAATAAAAGATAGTATCAGAAGTAAGTGGCCTGTCCTTAATAATAAAAAAAGTTTTTAAAAACTAATTTTTAACGTTCTGGTCTGGATTTTCACATGGATGAAAGCCCCATAGTCTATTATTTCTAAGGAATCTCTAGCAAGCTTAGTGAGGCAAGTCGTACTCAGAACTGCAGTTAGTGGATAGAAGTGACATGTTGTGTATTAACATGAATTTAAAAGTCTGGCCACAATCCTTGCAGGTACAACAAAAAGAGTATCAACAGCCATCACTGTGCCACGCGCTGGAGCCTGAAGGTATTTTTCTCTTCTACTCATTACTAGCACCCTGAAATGAGGGTATTTGGTGCATCATAGGTATTTCATAAAGAATGGCTAGTTAAAGGGGTAATGAACAAATAACTGAATAAGTGGATTTTTTCCCCTATTTCAGAGATGATTAAATTGAAAATAGCAGCTAAGCACTTTCTTCATCGTCATTCTTAGGCTCAGGTACTGTGCAGACTATGACAGCACAGTAGTTTTGTGCCTCAGAACTACTTTTCTAATCCACTTACCTAACCCTTGATAAAAAGTTATATTTTGCAGACACTCTGTGGGAAGCTTAAAGATCTGAGTGGTCCATTCATACCCCATGTTAATAAGAGTAAATCTATGTACCATCATGTAATCTATACATGTATATATTCCTTTTACCCAGTGTCCTTGTGGCTTCATGATCACACATATATTTCCTTATCCTGACAGAAACCCACTTGCTTCTCCTCTGCATTCCCATGGCCTCCCTGTCCCTGTAAGCAAGGATCATTCTGTTCAGGACACCCTAAGTCTGGTGCGTCCTCTGCTCACCATGGAAGGAGTCTAATGCCTGCTGTACCTCCCCAGAGTGGAATGAGCCCAAGAAACCTGGAGACATATTATACTGATTATAGGGGCTCTGAGAAACCTATAGTTACTAGAGAGATGCACATCAGGAGGAATCCATTGACATTTGAGTACCATAAAGTGATATTTTTCTCCAAAATTCTTCCTTTCCATTATGGTAACAACCAAATTTTGTTTGTGTCTTCATGGGATGAACCCAAGTTCATCCCTCTAGTGGACTCTGCAGCCAGGAAATTGTGCCCTAGTTCTGGTGAGTGAGGGAAACTGGAACAACTCAAAAACACTTTGCATGAACACTTGACTAGGGTATAACTGATGCTTTTGTTTGTTTTGTTTTTGTTTTTGGTGGTACTGGGGGTCAAAGGCAGGACATTGTGTTTGCCAGGCAGGCACTTATGCCGCTAAGCTATATCCCCAGCAATCTATTCTGGCAGGCCCAACTGGAGAGAAACTCTAGACCACTCATCCAAAATTCTTGGCAGATTCTGAAGCCCCTACTCCCCTATTTTCACAGCTGTAAGACAGAAATCACTAGGATATCAAGTATGGTCAAGAATCAAATAAACTGTGCATAAAAATATTTTTAGCTTTTAAAATTATATAAAAATGCCACCAAACATTGGGTTTTTCCCCTCATTATACTGCTCTGTAATCTGTGCAGTATATTTCATAAAGAAAACTTTCTTTTATAGACAGTAGTTCAACCCTCTTCAAAAGTTGATTCATCAAGTCTGGCTTGCCTCAAAGCACTGGAGCACAGTTTCATTTTAATTTTGAGTAACTAATAATTCCATTCATTTCCAAATCTTTCATATGAAGTTCAGGAATAAAGGCAATATGTACCTTTGCATTTGCTTTGTTTTCTTTCACCTTTTTGTGGTACTAGGTTTTGAACTGAGGGCCTTCAAAACCCATCTCCATTCCCAGCACTCTTCTTTTTTTTTTCTTAACTTTGAGACAAGATCTAAGTGGTGAATCTGCCATGTGCTCAAACTTGCGGTTCTCCTACCTCAGCCTCAGGTATGCACATAGCACTCGCCTCATATACTGCATGTTCAAAGCAATAAAACAATCCTTTACTAACTACAATTGCACAGGAAAAGTCAGGAAGAAAATGTGGTTCTTCCCCCAGAGATATCACTCTCTATGAAAAAGTTGTGAAGGGTTCATTAAATGTCTGTGTCTATCAATTCCCCCAATGCGTATGTTTCCAAATGCCACAGTGAAAGCTACACAGTTAACCCATAAAACAAAACAAATCAAAACTGCTACTTTTCTCTCCATCAGATGTCCTTTGATACAGATCTACTTACAGCAGATACATGTTTGATTTCTATATATTAAACATGTAAGTATAACCCCTCAAAAACCAAACATTTAATAAAAATACAATGAACATTTCAAGTGCTGCTGAGGTCTCACTGCATGGCCCTTGGTGCCTTTCTGGAAAATACCTGCATTGAAAAAAAAAAAAAAGTCTTTGCAGGAATGCTCACTTGTGAGCTGGCTCAGCAAAAACCATGCTAGAAGCTAAAGTCTTAGAAATCACCTAAGAGCTTTTCTTTTTGGCAGAACCAGGAATTGAACTCAGGCCCTTGCGCTTGCCAGGGAAGCACTTATTCCACTGAGCCATCTCCCTGGCCCCTCTAAGAGCTTTTAAATAATGTTGTTGTTGGGTTTTGTTGTTGTTGTTTGCGTACCAGGGATTGAACTCAGGGCCTTGTGCTTGCCAGGCAAGTGCTTATTCTACTGAGCCATCTCCCCTACCCTTAAATAAATATTGAAGTAAAATTTCAAGAAAACTCAAGAATTGCTCAGAAATAAGGTAGCAGCTCTTCTTGCTAGTGTAAGATTACCACTTTGAATCTTAGATGTTATAGTATTTTTTACAATTTACAAGATAAGTTTGTTTCAAATTAGTTTGAGAGTATCTTTAATTTTTTAAGTAAGGCAAATGGGCACTTCTTTTGTACTCAGAATCAAACTCATGACCCTGTGTTTGCCAGGCAGGCACTATGTCTACTGAGCTATATCCCCAGCTGGGAGTATCCTTATTATAAAGGTAATTTTGTTTCTACATCTAGGAAGTCTTATGAAATACTAACTCATGAAACTTATACAAATTTTTGGTTAGTAGCATTCTGAAATGGTAGCTTTGGAAACTTCTGAAGGTGCTCACCACCTTCCTTGAGCCCACACAGCTTCCACTGGTAATTTCTGATCTGGGAAGTTAAAAAACAATATGCAAAGATTTCTTTCAATCAAAAAAACCTGAAGTAGCAAGTGATGTTACGAATAACAACAACAGTTCTATCATGGATTTCTCTGTAATTTGAGTGCATGGTATTGCAGGGGTCATGTTCTTGTCTCATTTGGTGAACAGGACCCCTAAAGTTCCATGAGAAAAGCTGTTGGGATCCAGTGAGCCCTGAGATGCCCCTGAGAGCTAGCAACGCAGACCTTCCTCATGTTGGCCATGCTGAGCATGAACACATGACATGCCCAAAGTGACAGAGCTTGTTACAAATGAAAGGCGTGCAGGCTAGGCACCCTGTCAGTACCTCCTCATGGGGGGATGGGACTGGGACAGGGGTCACAGGTCCAGAATGAGGTCAAGGAAATCTGCCAGTGCATCCAGTGTCCTAGCAGGCATATATCTTCCACTGCAGCACTTGTTTAACCGATCTCAGATCTTTTATAATAAAAGCCATTCTGAAGTTAACCTACCTGCTATCAAAGGTTATCAGAATGAGAAGTCTTAAACAATTACAAAACTACAGTGTCTTCCAAATCACTTTAAAAGAACTTAAGAAATAATTGTAACTATGGTCCAGATGGCTGAACCCATTTGCTTATAGAAAGGAAAAATGAATCCAGGTATTTTACCTTGGTTTTTGCATTAACATTGGCTCCTTGCTTCAGCAGAAAGTTGACCATTTTCACATTTCCATAGTGACAGGCCACAATTAAAGGAGTGTAACCAAGCTGTAAATAACAAATAAATCATAAAATAATATAGTGAAAGCATTACTACTTTAATGGGTAATAACCAAATGGGGAGAGGAATTAGGCAGAATTTTAGTCATTACAGGGTAGATGGAAATTAAGTTTGCTTAAATATTATTTACCAGAATATTATTTATATATATATATATAATATGATAATATATATATAGTGAGTATAAATATAGATATAATCAGATCCCTGAACATGTAAGACTTTACATCAGCAAGGGGGATCGGAAACGTATATGACTTAATTTGAAAATAGATGCACATGACAAGATTTGGGACAGGAAGGGGACAGGCTATGCAGAGGATGAAGAGGAGACATAGGAAAGGCGTAGCTAATGTGGGCTTAAACATTGGGTAGAACTTAGTGGCACAGAAAGGGAAAGGGCACTGCAAGACCAAAAGCCTGAAGTCGTGCAAGCTCAGAAGGAAGCCAGCAAATCATCTGGCCCAGAAAAAGCAAGATGGAAAGAGTGGGCCAAGCCTGTGAAAGTAGTCTTCTTGGGAAGGATCTTGACACCACACTCTCCATTTGGATTTATTTGTGAGCCTCTGATGGCCTTTTGGACCTGGGCTGACCCAAATGAGACATACTGGGATTCACCCAGAGCTCTTCATGACACGGACAGAGACCGGCTCTACCTTTGTATGTGCATCCTGGTCAGCCCCATGCTTGGTGAGAATGTCAGCAACATTGACTTTATCTTCTTGGGCTGCGAGGTGTAAGGATGTGAGTCCACTCTAGAGAGAGAATGAAGCACAAGGAGTTCACTGGAAGAGGAAAACACACTGAATTGTACAGCATCTAATATCATGTCTGGAAAAGACTCCTGGAAAACTCAGAGCCTTTCTCTGCCCAGGAACCTTGTTTGTTGATATCTAAGACAATCTAAGTTAATGTGATGGTTCATCTAAGACTTAAGCCTAAGTCCTGGTGACCTGCATTTTCTGTTTTCTTTCTTGGGTATTTTTGATGTGAGACTTTTGAACAACTCAGCTAATAAGCTTCCAGATAACATTCACTTCAATGCCAGCTACCTCCCGTGGCACCTATTTATTTTCTTAAATAATTGATCAACCACATACTGTTGTTACTTTATACTCAGCAATAATCTATGTCTTTACCAATGAAATTTCATATCAATATTAAAAATGCATAGAATTAAAAGAAATTAGTTTAGAATAATTTCTTCTAGCACACCAAAGAGCATCTATCATTCCTCAGGATGCTAAATTATAAAAAGTAACCCTACCATTTATAAAGCACCACAAACTAGTTCCTTTTTTGTAAAAACTGGCATAATGCACATCAGGTAATTATTTTGCCCATTAGATTATGCAAATAAAATACAGCTGTGAATAATTAAAAATGAAAGAATGAGAAAAAAGTCATTTGTAGTCAGTGCTACACTCTGCCAGTTTCACTATATACAAGGGGCTTCTATCCAGCAAAACTGAAAATTTTTTTTAAAGTATATTAAATCCTAAATAATTTGTAATGTTTCACAGGCATTTCTTAAGTATTTTCATATGTAAGGAAGTATACTAGGCAACATAATATGGCCATGAACATCAGTTTTGGTCTTTAGAGTGTTTATCTTCCAGATTACAGTCAATTTATGCGAACTAGTGCTTAAACTCCTTAAACATGCATGTTCCTCCTGTCCATCTTGCAGCTATAAATGGAGGCAGTGAGCTACCTGTGCTCTGAGTCTTGCCACCTTCTTCCACCTAGTTCACACTTAATCAGAATTGGTGGCACCACTTGGGCACCCCTGCACCGCACCTAACTGTGAAGGCTAATCTATGGTCTTCAGCATCACCATCTCTCCATGGGTCTACTTGTAGAAAGCAACGAGTGTGCTGCCCCTTCAATAACAAAGTGATAACCCACAGAGAAAAAGCACTCTTCCACTTGACAAGAGACCTTCTCTTTGAGTATCTGGGACCTTCCATCCCTTTGAGCTCTGGCTGTGCTCAGCTTTGCGTTTCATGAAACATTAGAATAAGATAGAAGACATAAATACTACTCAATCCTGAAGTGGACATAACCTGAACATGAATACAAAACAGAAAATTCTTCCTTACACTGAGTTTTCTCATTTTGAAATAGTATAAAAGAGATTTCATTTTTCAGACTAAGCTGGTCTATTTAAGAATTTTACAGAAATAATCATTAAATGAAGTGGTGTAAATATCTCAAAGAATTTTAACGGCATGTCAAATGTAAGACATTCATTTTACAGAATGGCTTTTTCATAACACAAGATTATAAATGAACAATCAGTTTGTTTGTTATCACAAACTTGCATATTGAAATCAAATTGTATAAGCCTTCCTAATGAGCCAAGAAAACAGAAGATGTTAAAGGGGTTCTTTATAAAAAGTGATTTCCTACAATATTCTAGTAAACTCTACACTGTTTTTGTTTCATTGTATTTTATTGTTATATGGTGATAACTGGATAAAGAATATAGTGAAGAAATAATACATATTTAGTAAGAACTAAGAAATAATATACAGAGCATTAAATTTTGATTTTAGTTCATTTCAGAAAAAGAATGCATGTTCCTTTCAAAAACAAGAAGAAAATTTATTATTGGTTTTGACTTTTCTTTTAATTGGGACCTTGTGCTTGCCAGGCAGGTGCTTATGCCACTGAGTTACCTCCCTAACCCCTGGTTTTGCATTTTACTTGAGATAATCTTATAGTTGTATTATCACATTATGATCCCAAAATGTAATGTTATTTTGATATATAAATTCTATGTGTTATATTATCATACAGATATACTTGAACAAAAGTTTTACTGTACTCACAAATATATCAGGTCTTTGTCTTTAAAATTATCAAACTCAGGACCTTGCACATGCCATGCCAGCACTTGTGCTGCTGGGCTATATTCCCAGCCCTTAAGTCATTTTTATAACGATAATATTGTGATTCAAAACGTTTTCTACATTGTTGAGTGTATGACTCAAAAATAATCACTAAACACTAGATGACTGAATGCTAAAACTGCTAAACTGCTAAAACTCTTATAGTAAGTAAAGTACTTAAGAAAAACCATCAAGGAAGACATAGTGAACTCTTCCCAAATATGTATTATCTTTATCAGTAAAAATAATACCATCCGAAGCATTCCATGATCAGCTTCTTGAACTGTCTAGATTGTAACTCTCCTCCAAATTTTACTGGTTTATTTACTGACTTCACTTGCTTCTTATCTAAGAATGTTAAGCATTCAGTAGATAAAAAGCACATGTGCCCTTCTAGACTGACAGTGAATGAAATCTTGGTGCAGACGTCTCCAGGAAGGTAAGTGTCCATGTCAATGGTGTGATTTCAATGGTACAGGGAGATCGTGCCCCAGACTTTACTGCCTGTCCAGCTGATGCGCTGGATTTCACTATAAGGCTTTGTCACATTCATTCTTTTTAAAATGAAAATATTTTGGGAAGACTAGCTCTTAAATAGCTCTTGTCATATGGTGTGGTTTGAATATGTCATTTTTTCATGTGTTATAAACTTAAAACCTAAATTCATCGGCAGATGATATTTAAAGATAGGGTGGGGGGCTGGTGAGATGGCTCAGTGGTCTAAAGCACCTACCTAGAACAAGCTAAGCGAAGCACAGGGACCACGGTTCAATCCCCCA